CTTCAACAAATTAGATTCAACACGTCGTGCGCTTCATCAGGTTGTGGTCACGAGAGGATGGTCCTGTTGATAAAGTACGGATTACATCCCACACGGTGCTATGTAGATTTGGATACGTAGACTTAGCCCATTAGGATTTTTATAAATTGGCGATAATACATAGGTGTTTGAACTCAAATAAGAAATGGTTTGAAATGTTCCATTCTCCCGATGCTCAATCGAATAAAGTCGATTTAGAGAGGTTTATTATATACCTGGATATTGTAACTGGATACGGTAGGTTTAATATATTGAAATTGCAGTATTTGTTGTTTAAAGGTACAACAAGTCAGATAGTTCACACGCACACACATGGGGAGTTGGATGGCTGAATGGTTAGCACGTGCGCGCTGTATCATAAAGTCTGTCATTGAGTCAACTGGCGTGGTTTCGATTCCCCGGTTGTACGTGGCAAGGAGAAGGGTGGCTTGTCCAACCTCGTGGGTTTTCTCCGGGTCCTCAGGTTTCCTCCCACTGCTAAAGACCCTTACGCGCAAGCGAATTATGGAAATAAAATTGAACCATATGTTAGTCCAGAAATGACCTAGTTTGTGTCGAGTGGACGTTACCCCCCACCCCCCCTCTCTCTCTCTCTTGGTAAGTAGTAACAAGTAAAACGTTAAGCCACATTTCATTCTAACCAGCAGACATACTACATGTATCCATAGGCGTACGGGGAAATTTTTGACTGGGGGGGGGGGGGCGGTGGTGGTTGGTGCCCAAAAAATGTAGTTAGGTTCTTAGTATGTTACATAATAATAATAAATTCGCTGTTAAATTGGACACATTCAAGAACACAATATTTTTTTATACAATTTTTACAAAGTATAATTGTGTGCCCAAATTTTCCCAGCATTTGGTGCCCCCCCCCCCAGCCCCCCTGGCTCGTACGCCTATGCATGTATCACTCATAACTAACAAATTCAAGCCCAATGTAGCTAAAGTCGCCTTGAAGATACGTCATACTAAAACTCAAATTATATTAAAAGCAAGATATACCAATTGAACATATATTAAACTACTTTAGAAGTTAGATCGGTGTCAGTCGTATGATTAGAGCGTCTGTGATATTAACCAGCGGTTACAATGCAAGATCAGCCCACATTTAGTAAGGGATGGATAGAGAACAAGCTAAAAAAACCGCGATTTTTTGTATAATCATGCAAGGACCATAATCCATGAATTTATGGGCTGAAATGCGCGAATACTGAAATGAACTGAGATCTTTGGGATATCAACATATATATTTTAAGTTTCATCAAAAATTGTGACCTCTAAAGACTCCACAGCCTTCGTATTACATACTTTTACACTATTTGCGTACAAGTGCTGTTCAGACGGCCTGGCAAGGGACAACGTATAGTCGTTCGGATGGGACGAAAAACCGAGATCTCGTGTTCACATTGGCGTGCACGTAAAAATCCATTGACAATTGGAATTAGATATATAAGAGTTGGCCGTTGTACCGCTGTCCGGGCACAATTTCATTCGTAGCACACTGTATGGCGTATGTCCCGCCTCCGTTAGCCCAGTTGGAGCAAAACACCAGGCCGTTAAACCCCATTTCTTTTCATTTCAGTGACTTTGCATTTAAAATATAGGCCACCATACAAAACGTATCACCTGAATTCATGAATTTTACGTCAACGTTATAAATAGACACAGATTTTAATTGCACATGCCTCATGTTCAGTGAACTGTACTATTTTAATGTTATCACTGCTAAGTTGAATAGAGTTTTAAAAAACAACAGCTACATGAAGAATGTAGTGCGGAAAAGATAGCCAAATTGTTATGGTTTATTTATATATGACACATAACGATGGGGCGGGTGTAGGGGAGGGGGCGGGTGTAGGGGAGACGTCTGGGGCGGGGGTGGGGCGGGGCCGGTGTGTGTGTGTGTGTGTGGGGGGGGGGGGGGGGGGGGGTTAACGCGTGTACGTTAGATCACAGGTTCTGTCTGTGAGACAAGTGGCGTGATTTCGACTCCGCGCTTGTACGTGACAAGGAATAGGGTCGCCTGTCAAACCTTACGGTTTTTCTCCGGGTTCTGCGGTTTCCACCCACTACTAGAGACCGCTACACGTGGGCGAATTATTGACATATAGACGAACCATTATTTTAGTCCCGAAATGACATAGTCATGTGGACATATATTGTCGTCGCCCTGTCGATCCGTCCGACTGTCCGTCCACAATTTGTTTGTGTAAACTCTACAGGTCACAAATTTTATTCGATTTTGACGAAACTTGAAATATATGTTTATAACCCAAAGATCGTCGTTCTTTTCCATATTCGTGCATATGACCGTAACTTCCTGGATTATGGCCCATAATCGTACGAAAAAAAATCACAATTTTAGCTTGTGGACACTCTACAGAACACAATATTTTTTTATCCGATTTTAAAAATCGTTTAAATATATCACCGTTACACCATAATGAAGGTTGAGTTCAAATATCAGGATAATCGAAACGAAACTGCCCGACCAAATGGCCGCTCCTTGTACGCAAATAGTGTTAAAGTATGTAATACGAAGGCTGTGGAGTCTTTAGAGGTCACAATTTTTGATGAAACTTAAAATATATATGTTGATATCCCAAAGATCTCAGTTCATTTCAGTATTCGCGCATTTCAGCCCATAAATTCATGGATTATGGTCCTTGCATGATTATACAAAAAATCGCGGTTTTTTTAGCTTGTTCTCTATCCATCCCTTACTAAATGTGGGCTGATCTTGCATTGTAACCGCTGGTTAATATCACAGACGCTCTATACGACTGACACCGATCTAACTTCTAAAGTAGTTTAATATATGTTCAATTGGTATATCTTGCTTTTAATATAATTCGAGTTTTAGTATGACGTATCTTCAAGCCGCTTAAGCTAAATTGGGCTTGAATTTGTTAGTTATGGGTGATACATGTAGTATGTCTGAGGGTTAGAATGAAATTGGGCTTGACATTTCACTTGTTACTACTTGCCAAGAGAGAGAGAGAGATAGAGAGTGAGAGAGAGAGAGAGAGAGAGAGAGAGAGAGAGATGGGGTTTGATGTCCACTCGACACAAACTAGGTCATTTCGGGACTAACACATGGTTCAATTTTATTTCAATAATTCGCTTGCGCGTAGGGGTCTTTAGAATTTAGCTATGGGAGGAAACCGGAGGACCCGGAGAAAACCCACGAGGTTGGACAGGCGAGCCTACTCCTTGTCACGTACAACCGGGGAGTGCAAGATGGGTGCCAAAGCTCTTGACTGCAGGTCAGAAACGTGTCAGATTCCTGACGTCCCGTGACAACCTTCGCCGTTTTGAAGCAGATCCTGATAATGTTTTGGCCAGATTTATAACCAGCTGTGAACGACATTTTTTTAGGGTGGCTGAAGACATCGAGGCCTTGTAACATCGTTGGCAAAAGTGTGTACACCCCGAGGGGGACTATGTAGAAAAATAAATGGAAACCATGGACTTTTTACATGTATAGGCTTAAAATCTTTGAGCCAGCCCTGTAGAATAATATCGACAATTTTCACAATATGGGTCATGTCAGTTCCATTCGGCATACTTAAAAAGATCTGTGACCTTCACCCATGGAAGCATAGTTACTAGTTTGCTAACCACCGATTAGGCATACACACTGGCATCCTCAGTATTCCCAGTGGTCCCATTCCGTTCCACTCTACTAACCCCATGATGACTGTGCTATATTTATCGACCAATCAAAAAAATCGTTAAATACAAAAAAAGTTGGCGAAGGGAAGTAGCTACGATCAAGGGCAGATAATTTGAATATGTGAATACCCCATGGATAAACTGAGAGCATAGTGGAGTAGCACGGAATGAGACCACATGGGGATACCGAGGATGACACACTGGCTAAATAGTGATTATTTTAATCAGCGTTCGCGAATATGTTTCAGTATTTTAAGTAGCTATAATTAGAGATCGAAATTTTTAAAAAAGTCATGTATGTTATAAAATATCTCCCCATAATTTAGCTTGAAATGTTATATAAATTATTTTTTAGACGTTTATTTACATTTTAAGCCTATAATCAACTCTCGAGTAAACCATCGGGATTGACAAACGATCGCCATATAATGATTTAATTTTGAAAAAATTGAATCGAGATTTAGTCTCGATTGTCAAGGACCGTTGCCACGATAATAAACAATCTATGCTACATCTTGTCGAAACTTAAAGCACAGATAACTTCGCGCAGCATAAAGTAATTTGAGTGATTTTTCAAAATATTCATTTTTCATCATGATCTATATTTGAGCTATTAAAGAACGATCAGCTCTTTATCTGAATTTTACATAATGCACAATATTAATGTATATTTTACTTCTATATTTTTCAGTAACACTTGTAATCCATAGATGATATCTTGAGTAATCCGACGAAAATAAGTTTACAGGTGTCCAGTTTATGTTGAAAGAAAGACTGCACCCACTCCAATATTACTACTATATGCCAAAATCCCAGGATGGGCATTCAGCAACACTTCCTACACCAATGACCGACGATTCGTCCCGATGTAGACAGAGAAGGAAATGGTTTTTTATCAGTATGTTATTTTCAGAGGAACTTTAATATAATCTGGTCCAACTTCTATACAACCAGGCGCAAAAGAACAAATTGTTAACTCTTTGTCCGTACAAGAACATAAGTGCCCCGGTGGTCCGTCGAGCGAAGTCTAAAAGGATACAAACATAATGGAAGACAAGAAACATGAAGATTTGCTGCGTTATTTAGTTTTCAAAAATATTACCAATGAGGCCTTTGATTGTGCAAATTTTTTATTGCATGGAAGTAAAGTTAAGGACTGTGATATAAATATATTATCGTCTGTCAAATGCCACGCAGACGTGCTCTTAACGGTTACTTTTAAATCAGTAAAAACGCTTGGGCACATTCGCGATAAAGTTTATACGCTGAAAGAGAGAATAGAGATAGAATCGTACGACGAATCAAACCTGCCAGGTGAATATCTGCCTTTTCTTGATTCTGCACCACAAGCGACTGAGAACGAAGTTCATCCAACTGATACGGTGAAACAACTCCGTGCTGCTAGCTCGGAACATCCATTCCGAAAGACCAATGGAAAGTGTGATGCATCCATGCCCGAAAAACAGCTCCAGTGCCCAGGTCAGTCGAAAGATTCAGAAGGAATCCCAGGAATACAAAGGGCGGAAGACCAAAAAATCGAACCAGTCTTGATTTATATTGCTTTCGTAAATACGTCCAAAGGGTCATTCGATTGTAAACATATTTTGTTAACTCAAAATGAGGTGGACAACCAGATAAATATATTGTCGACGGTTTTATGCGGCGCCGATGTTCTGCTCACAATTACGTTTAGTTCAATAATGAAAGCCATGGACGTTTTGCGATCCATAAGAACTAAAGAGAGAGAAGAGATAAAATGGTACTTCAATGAGACGTTACCAAGGAAATATCTCAATTTTGTTCAGTCTGTGCTGCACAATAGGGACGGGACGGTTTACCAAAATGATAAGAAGACAAAACAAATTCAAAGAACTGACGTCAATCTCCCACAGCAACCACCAGTACATGCTAAAACCTCCCAACACAACCCATTCGGAAATAAAAGTGGCGAAACAGCACAGCAATCAACCAAAAGCACAACTCGCCCATTCAAAAATAAAGGTCTAGCCTGTGAAGCTCTTAGCTTACTCAAGATGAATAATTTAAACTCAGAGACCCAATTAGGATGTTCTTTAACATCACCGAATGATACGGTCGATTTCAGAAAGGAGCAACTGGCCAATAAACTGAACTATATCCAAAATCGGTCATCACAGATGCTGCATGAGCTAAGGAGTAAAACAGATAGGGCTAATCAAAGAACAGAATATATCCGATGCGTTCAAGGTATTACAGATCGCTTGTCAAATTCAATCACCTCTGAGAATTTTGAATACATTTTGGAATTAGAAACGATTAAATTTGATATAGAATGTTGTAGATTAGAATCCGGTCTGCCTATTTATGGAAGAAGATCCGGTGTCCTAAAGTTGATCCAGGAAAACCAAGTAGTCATTATCCAAGGTGAAACCGGTTCTGGTAAAAGTACGCAGTTAGTCCAATACCTCTACCAAGCTGACTTCGGTAAAACAGGAATGATAACATGTACCCAGCCTAGAAAGGTTGCGTGTGTTAGTCTTGCTGAAAGGGTAGCAACAGAACTGGTTACAAACGTTGGCCAAATTGTCGGCTACAAATCGGGATTAAGAAGAAAAATATCTGCACAGACGAAGATTGTATATCAGACTCATCACAGATTACTCCAGGAGTGCCTTAAGGATCGCAAACTAACCAAATACTCCTGCATCATTATTGATGAAGCTCACGAAAGGAGCATATATACTGATATTCTACTAAGCATCATTAAAATGTGTCTTCCAGTTCGCCCAGATCTTAAAATTATCATTACATCCGCTACCATTGAAGTCGACATATTTTCTAGATACTTTTCCAACTGCCCAGACATACAAATATCTGGCAGAGCGTTTCAAGTGAATGTTATTTGGCGGAATGCAAATCAACAAAATATCGATTTCGAAAATATTGGGGTAGCAGCTGTGGACTTAGCTGAGCATATCCATAAGACAGAAGGACCAGGGGACATTTTAGTTTTCCTTACTTCACCAATGGACACTGAAACATGCAAAGAAGATTTAGAGAGTAGATTAACAGAGCGAACCAACTACAAATGTTTTCCATTTCACGGTCAGCTGCAACCCGCTGAACAACAGGAAGTATTGCAGGATCTCCCAGTGGGACAGCGTAAAATTGTGTTTGCTACAAACGCAGCAGAAACATCTATCACTATTCCAGGAATCAGGTTTGTGATTGACACTGGAATGGCTAAAGAGAGAGAGTTCGATTCTATTAAGCACATCAATACACTTAGACTTAAAGTTATCAGTAGGAGCTCTGCTAATCAAAGGAAAGGTCGAGCTGGAAGGACAGCTCCCGGGACATGCTACAGGCTATATACAAGACAGAGCTACGAAGAAATGAATCCCACCAGCGTCCCTGAGATACAAAGGGTGCATCTAGGACAAACTCTTTTAATGCTTTACGAAATGGGTATTGATCCTTTGGTGTGTGAATTTGTAGAAGCCCCAAGTCCTAAAGTTATGGATGCTGCGCGAAAGACGCTAGAAGAGCTCCGGTGTGTGGTTGGTGGTAAAATAACAGAGCTAGGAAAGTGGTTGGCGAAAATTCCCATGGAACCACGGCTAGCAATTATAATCAAACTAGGCTATGATAAAGGAATTTTATTTGATGCTATAGTTTTTGCAGTTCTGTTTGGTTCGTGTGACAATTCCATATTTTATCGCTCAGGGTCAGATGACGAAAAGACGAAAGCCGATCAACTAAAACTTAGATTCTGCCATGATAAAGGTGATGGCGTCACATTTATGGAGATCTACAAGGAATGGGTGAAGCTACCAGAACGACATCGGGGACCATGGTGCTTCGAAAATAAAATCAACGCCAAGGTTTTGCGAGGTGCCAGGGAAACAATCATAGAAATCATTGCAGTTTTGAGAAAGGAATATAACATCATAGTTGATGAAAATTTAAAAAGTGGAAAAGAAACTGTGGAGCAGCTGCAGAAATTTGTTCTATACGCCTTCTTCAACAATATATGTTGTCACATCGGCCATGACAAATTGGGATATTTTGTTCCAGATTTAGACCAAATGGTATCTCTTCATCCATCGTCGGCTCTTAAAGCCCTGAACGATTCTAGCGAATGGTTGGTATTTGGCAATTTTCTTCGTACATCGCGTGACTTTATCACAACAGTAACCCCCATACGAGAAGAATGGATTACTGAGATAGCGAACGAGAAAAAACAGCATTTCGATTTTGAAAAGGTAAGAAGCATGAAATTGTCCAAAACTCATACGGAACTGTTTGGGAAAACAACCATGGCGAATTTTATCGGAGCTAAATATACAAATATCAAACGTTGTGAAGACGTCCTATCAGATGAATTTCAAACGCCAATCGTTCTAGATGTGAACAGGGATCTGGGTGAAATCCATTTATTTTCTCCCAGTAAAGCCCTCCAGTCAGTTGATCATTTTAAAAGCATGGTGAAAAGCGTTAAAGACCAGGTTAAGAAAGGGTTTTGCGAGTTTCGGCTTGGATCAGCCCGATTTGGCGGTGTACGAATAGTTATTGGAACTGGCGGAGAGGGACAGATGATACTTTTACCAAATGAATACCGATCTGTTTATGTAGTAAAACATACCGGTGATACTAACACGAAAGAAATCATCCATAAGTTCTCTGTTTTTGGAGAGATTGTAGAAAGCTGGGAAGACGCTGGTCCTGGCGGTCGTTGGGGAAAACTGACTTTTAAATCACCTGAGAGTGCCTTGGAGGCTGTTCGCGTAACTCGGAATATGGAGAGTGATGTGGCCGCTCCAGAGATTAAAATTTTTAATGATAGCCATGCTTATCAATTTAAAGTCAAATTAATGTGGTGCAGAAGACCCTTAACTGGCTTAGGATTTGTGGACATCGATCCATCTGAACTTGACAAAGCTCTAGAATTTGGCGAGTTACAAGTACTGGACAGCATCGTCACTATAGACTTGGACAGAAAGACTCGAAGAAGTCTGTGTTTGAGAAGATTGCCCCAAACAGTGACCGAGAACGATATACACACGAGTCTCTGCAGTGTGTTAGGGTTACATACAAAAGATGAAAAGGCTCGAATAGGTACCATTTATTTAATCCGGGAAAAGGTAAGAACGACTGATAACGAACTAGTTTATATTAAAGAGTTGATTGAGAGGGCGATAAGTAACCTCATCCCTCCTGACTCATTCGTGGTGGATTTGACTCCCAGAAAGGATGCCAATATTAATTACCTTGCTTGCGTTAGATTTAACCACATACAGCATGGTGAAATTGTCATTGATAAGGGGTTGGTGATAATGGGAAACACTGTCCGAATAACACCAGACGTATCAACATTCATCAACGTTACACATAATGTGTTTGAGAAGCTGTGTCCAGCTGTTGAAGAAAATATCCAGATTCTAAAAAGTCATGGATACGGTTTGGATTTCAATTGCCAATTCAAGCGGATAAATAAAAACCGGGTATCGATCCAATTATTCTCTACCAAACCAAGAGACCTTGCCCGCGTTAGATTTATTCTGGCTGGACTACTGAAAGGAGACAACTTGGAATGTTGGAGAGACGACAAATACCGTTTTCTTTTTCTCCAAGAAGGTCGGAAATATCTTAGAGATTTAGGAAAGAAAACGAACACATATATTGTGGTTGATGACAGACGAATTAACGTCAATTTATATGGAACAAGGGAAGATACATCCACGGCACTAAATGAAATCGAAAAGTTTCTGACACAAATCATTGAAGGTACTGGTAGGGAAATTTCTCTTGGTTCTGCTGACCAGCCAAAAGGATTGATGAAAACTCTTATCAAAACATATGGACTGAACCTGGAGACGCTCACGGAGGAGGAAGGGTTGTACTCGGTGCTTTTAAACTACCCCACAAAAGTCCTTAGACTCATTGGACCCAAAGAGAACGTTGATACAGCAATCCGCAAGATAACTTCCATCGCCAGCGAAATAAACAAAACCAATTCAGAAATGAAAGCCGATAACGAACTTCCAGAATGTAGTATTTGTTATACTGCTGTCGAGGAGATCTCCACGCTATACAGACTGGAATATTGTGGGCATGCGTATTGTCTAGACTGTCTATGTCAACAGACCAATCTAGCTATACGGAATAAAGATCTACCCATTATGTGTGGAGGAAAGGGGTGTCAGGAGTCGTTCGTATGGCAAGATTTCCTCTACTGTTTTAAGAAATTTAATATAGAGGATGAAAGCTTGGTTAATGCTGCTGTTGACAAGTTTGTTATGAAGAATCTGGAATCCTACCACCATTGTCTAACTGCTGACTGCCCAATGATATACCGTGTTACATTACATGGTGCGTTATTTATGTGTGGCGAATGCCGATTGAAAATCTGTACAACTTGTCACGTTGAGTATCACGATGGTCTGACGTGTGAAATGTATAACAATGTGCCCGAAGAAGAAGAGGATGAATGCTTGGTTAATGCTGCTGCCGACCCGTGTGTAATGAAGAATCAGGAACCCTACCGCCAATGTTTAACTGCCGAATGCCCAATGGTATACCCCGTTACATTAACTGGTGAGTCATTTGTGTGTAGCGAATGCCGACTAAAAATCTGTACAACCTGTCATGTGAAGTACCACGATGGTTTGACGTGTGAAATGTTCAAAAGTATGTCAAAAGCAGAAGACAGTTTAGCGAAGTTTCTGAGAGAAAATATAGACACGGTTAAGATGTGTCCCAAGTGCAAAACCCTAATCGAGAAAACCTATGGCTGCCATCATATGAGTTGTAAATCGTGTGATAATCATTTTTGCTGGCTTTGTTTAGCTAGTTTTGGAACCGACCAGGAATGCTACACTCATTTAGAAAAAGACCACGGAGGTATTGGGTACTAAGAGTAAACATAGACGTGTATAAAAATAGACGTTGCCATAATATTCGTCTCCAAATGGGTTATGTTGGCTTTGTATAGCTGACATCGATAAACAAAGACCGTGGCAGATTAATGAATTTGATTGCTTAGTTTTAGAATCTGTTTTCTGCACATCATAGGTTACCAATCGCACAAATGGCTCTGATACTACAAGCATTAATTTTTGTTTTATTTATTTTACTTCCTAACCGATTGGATTGTAGACAGTAAGAACATTTTGAGAGGGAAAAGGGTTAACATCAACTCCACGACACAAAGTAGGTAATTTCGGGACTAACATTCAATAATTCACTCGCCCGAAGAGGTCTTTAGCTGTCTGATGAACCCGGAGAACGCTGAAATAACTCACCAGGTTGGATACTCGACCTTACCCCTTACAATCCGATAATCTAATTTACGCTATTTGACTCAATGAAAGATCATTCGTCTTCAGAACAAACATCCCCACCTCCATCCTCCCCCTATCAACTTGTCAGATACCGGCATTGGTTTAAGATGGGGTTTCTCCAATAAGATAGCACCTAGTCTCTGTAGTAAAAATATAATTTTTGGATCACCTGGGTTGATTAGATTAAAGATTTAAATTCAGTTGATTTTCGACATTCTTCGCATATACATAATAATCTGAAATTTAAGTCAAGATTTGGCTTTATACTCGTTGATTGTTAATTGTTTTATCTTCAAATTAAAAGAAATGCTTATTTACAGGTATATTCATACTTGGGAACCTAGCTGACTCAGTGAGTAGGCGATGGGCCAATATCCAGGAGGTCCGGGGTTCTACCCCGGCGTTGATCGCGAATTGTCCCCAGGATTGCCCCTTTGTCAATGGTATAGGACGGAGTAAAACGTCTAGTCGTTCGGGTGGGACGAAAAACTGAAGTCCCGCGGACGCCCTGTCCACGCAAACGTCCTTCATAGAACTCTGTATGGCATAGTCCGTCTTCATTAGCCCAGTCGGTGCAAACAAAGGACGTTAAACCCAAATTCATTTCATATTTTATTTGGGTGAATTGTAAATATATATAAACATAATATTTTATAGTCTGTAATGAATGGGTACTGTTACAATATTTGATTGGAATGGATGTTTTTATTATTTATATATTTTGTTGCATATTAATTTCAATTATTAATGATGGTGATGGTGATGTAAATTATAGTAAATATTTTGTGTATAATTAATATTATATATTATTAACCGGGGAATATTTTGTGTATAATTAATATTACATATTATAAACAGAAGAATTTTGTGTTTAATTAAAATTATATATTATAAACCGGGGAATATTTTGTGTATAATTAATATTATATATTATAAACCGTGGAATATTTAGTGCATTATTAATATTATATATTATTAACCGGGGAATATTTTGTGTATAATTAATATTATATATTATAAACCGTGGAATATTTAGTGCATTATTAATATTATATATTATTAACCGGGGAATATTTTGTGTATAATTAATATTATATACTATTCAAAAAAAGTAGGGGATATTTGATTTTTAAGTGTTATTAAAGTCACCTAATGAAACTGACGAAGAAACAAATGACAAAATGAAATGAAGTTCACATTCATCGATTTATTTCAAATGATCGTTAGACTAAGTAAGGCACAGACTGACCATTATAAGGGTAAAATGATACCCGGGGTCAAACAGCAAAGTTACCACAGCATCACAACCAAGTCAGTAACGGGTAAATCCTCCTCTGTTTGCCAAACAAGCATTGATCCGACGTGGCATACTCCTAATGAGACGTCTAAGGTCATTTTGGTCCAGATTGTCCCATTCCTGTTGCAACGCAGCAGCAAGTTCTTGGACATTGGCAGGACGTTGTTGACGTTGACGTAACCTCTGTCCAAGCATGTCCCAGACATGCTCGATGGGGGAGAGGTCGGGACTCAGTGCTGGCCAAGGTAATGTGGTGATGTTCTGTTGTTGGAGGTAACCTGTAACGATCCTGGCCCTGTGACATCTTGCGTTGTCATCCTGGAAGATGAAATGGCGGCCATGACGTCGTGCGAACGGCACAACATGGACTGCCAAGATGTTGTCCCGGTAGTACTGGCCTGTAACACGCCCTGCAACAACATGTAAAGCCGTTCTTCCAGCAACAGTGATGCCTCCCCACACCATAACAGAACCACCCCCAAATCGATCATGTCTGATGACGTTAACGTCTTGGAAGCGCTCGTTTCGACGACGCCACACCCTCCTACGTCTGTCCAAAAAATCAACAGTGAACCTTGACTCATCTGAAAACATCACATTGCTCCAGTGTCGATTATCCCAGTGTTGACGATCCCTACACCAACGACGTCTTGCCTGAATGTGATGATCTCTCAAACAAGGGATCACGCGAGGACGTCGGGCGCGAAGGTGACCCCTATGCAGTCGATTCCGAATCGTCTGGCCACTCACTCTCACACCAGTGTCTGTTTGAAGACGAGCGCTGATCTGATTTGCTGTGATGACACGATTTCTCAAGGCCAAGGTACGGATAAATCGATCCCGGGCTTGAGTTGTCGCCCTTGGTCGACCTGAGCGTGGTCTGTCCTGCACAGATTGTGTATCACGGTATCTGGACCATAGCCTGCTTATGACAGACTGAGAAACATTCATCGTCCGCGCCACAACCGCCTGTGTTTTGCCGATCTGTAGCATGCCAAGGGCACGTAACCTTTCATTTTGGGTAAGCCGACGCATATCAAAATTTGTTTTCCGGTCACTAAAACAATTAAACTGATGTTTCCACCCTGGAATTCAATGCCACAATGACTGTAACATTCAAAGTCAGAGTCGTGCAAATCTTGGGTTGGACCCCCATGATGATACAAAGCATCACCTGCATTCCATGCGGTAGCTATTGGTGCGTTTGGGCGTCACATGTAACTGGAAATGTTTCTTCTGTTAGGTTCTATAGTGACTTTTTTCGTAGTCATTTGCATATTTTAGTATTATGCCCCCAAAATCAAATATCCCCTACTTTTTTTGAATAGTATATATTATAAACCGGGGAATATTTTGTGTATAATTATAATTTTATATTATAAACCCGGGAATATTTTGTGTATAATTAATATTATATATTATAAACCGGTGAATATTTTGTGCATATTTAATATTATAAACCGGGGAATATTTTGTGTATAATTAATATTATATATTATAAACCGGTGAATATTTTGTGTATAATTAATATTATATATTATAAACCGATGAATATTTTGTGTATAATTAATATTTTATATTATAAACCGGGGAATATTTTGTGTATAATTAACATTTTATATTATAAACCGGAGAATATTTCAATGCATACTTATGAATGCATGGATCCCGTCCTTTAATACGTATCTTAAATCTTTGCAATGTTATTGAAATTTATGGATAATTAGTATTGGCTGCATACTATAATTATATATTATCTTTATGCGTATGACGAAGTGCTGTTTTCTGGGGGTTGTAGCCTATTCCAACACTAACGATAACGCGTGATCTAACCTGGCCAACGCTCACAGTAACGAGATAGGTATCGCTAAGGCGACCCGCTTACCAGATTAAAGTTACAGTAGAATATAGAACATATATACAAGCTTAGGATTAAAATAATTATATAATAATATTTGACCAGAAATGTTAAATTGTACATAAGAAACAGATGTTTAAATACAGAAGATAAGGACATTGCAAGAACGCGTGTTAAATATAATTACGTGATATATATGGCTACATTAAGTATAAACCCAAACAGGTTAAAAACATTGGTCAATTTCTACTTTAAATAAAATTTTATAATAAAATCTATACAAAGATACACTATAACTTGCATAACAATTGTAATGAATTTAAAAATATATCTTGTGTATAAGAAATAGGATATATATACATGTATCGTTATATTGCAGTTGTGGCTTAAATATATTACATATCAATTTCATTTTTGAAATATATTTTTTTTATTTGTAAAGTTTTGATACTTGTTTATGTCCGTTATAGAATAAATTATATTGAATTACATACGTTTGTCTGTGCAATGCTATTGTTTCGATACACCCACCCACTGCAAGGACGCCAAATCCTGTTTCATTCTTCTTATTAAGGGGTGGCGTGTGGTGGGATGTGTTGGGGTGGGCTGGGGTGCGCTATATGTGACCAATGGTTAACACGTGCGCGTTGCATCATAAAGTAAGTTTGTCACTGGGTCAAGTGACGTGGTTGTGATTAACCCTTGTGTGTGACAAAAGTGATAGATCGCCTGTCCAACCATATTTTAATCTCGAACTGACCTAATTTGTGTCGAGTGGACGTTAAAACTCTGCAGTAAAAGCTGATTCAAACAGTGATTTCAGTATATTGGCTCTTGACAGGGCGTCACTCTGTATGAATCCACTCTTGTTATTGAGTGGTGCTACTCCAGTGGCTTCGTGGCCTTTACTCTTGATGGAAGTCCAGAATTTCTTGGAGTTTTCCTTACAGACGCTGTTGACTGTGGTTTGCTCATCTGACCTCAAATGTATCTCTTTCTGTAACTTCGTCTAATTTATGGACACGGATCAAATATTGATGCAAATAAACACTTCTGCCGTAACATACCGGCCCCTAAACAATTTATTGTTTACTATAAAAGATTACGGTAGAAGTGAAAAACCCATAACATATCATTTTACATACAAATTAAAATGGACAAACTAAATTTAAGGCATTAAACATATCAATTTGGTAACAGGTCTGCGAATAACTGATGTCTGTGTTTTAACAACACCACTAGGTACTAATCCGTTTGCGTCACTAAATGTTTCAATTATTCGTCCCATACACCATTGATTTCTGGGAGCATTGTCATCAACTACTAAAACTATATCGTTCACTGATAAATTACGTTTTGGCTTTAGCCACTTTGCACGTTCTTGTAGTTTAGAAAGGTACTTTTTTTGCCAGCGTTTCCAAAAGGTATCCGTAAGATACTGTACTTGCTTCCAATGTTTACGAACAAACACATCTTCTCGTTGAAAGTCACCAGGAGGTAAAATCCATTTAGTACGCATCGTAAGTAAGCGGTTCGGTGTTAACGGATCTAAATCGTTCGGATCATCTGATACGAAAGTCAGAGGACGGCTGTTGATAATAGCTTCTATCTCACACATGAACGTATGAAAAGATTCATCATTCAGGACAGGATTACTATTAGATAAAAGCAATGCGTTGAGAACTTTACGTATAGTCCTAATTTGACGTTCCCATATGCCACCTTGATGGCTTGCTGTTGGAGGGTTGAAGGTCCACTTAATATTACGTTGCAATAACTCACTATTGATTTGACGTTGATTCCAATTTTCAATTTCTAAACGTAGTTCACGCTCACCACCGCAGAAATTTGATCCATTATCGCTACGTATTTCCTCACATTGCCCCTTCTGGCGATGAATCTACGGAGCGCTTGTATGAACGAGCTGGTATCCAGGGAAGATGCAACTTCTATGTGAATAGCACGAACAGCTAGACAAGTAAAAACTACCCCATAGCGTTTAAGTGATTTGCGACCTTCTCTAATTATAAACGGTCCAAAATAATCTACTCCTACTCTAGGTGCACGTAACTTACGACAAAGAACACATTTAGACAACACGTTACGAACAACAGAATTACAGTTGATCACCCAATCCCTTTCCCTCAGCATAGCAATAGTATGTCCTCTACCGGAATGTGTAAAGCTTGATGAGTGTTCCTAATAATAAGATTAGTAACATGTGCATTACGTGGTAAAATAATAGGATGCTTCGCATTCTCAGGTAAATCAGAATTTCGTAGACGTCCACCAACACAAAGCAGTTCACCTACAACAATTGGATCTAAGCAATACAAATTACTGTTCTTTGACACAGTTTTGACTCGTTCGTTTCTCGGTATTCCACTGTTATTAGACAATAAACGCAATTCTAGAGGAAAATGCTGTTGTTGAACAAATTTGATTATAACGTTTTCGGAATTTTGAAGCTCTTCCGCGGTAAAGTCTTTAAACACATGCTTACTGTTTCTTAGATTCATAATCTTATTGGCTAGATAACGTTCACGTTCTGCACCAACCAATACAACTGGAACATCTTGTTTAAGTATTTTAACATCTCGTACACGTTTTAAGAGAAGAGTTCGTAAACGAAGAATGTGAGCAATAGAACGTTTGAGTTTGAACCAATCGGAATAATATTCTATTAATCTTTGCAAGGGATCATTTTCGACAGTCATCGTTGCTAACGACGCAAGTTCAATTTTGACCTCAGGATCACTTGAATCAACATCACCAAGCGTTGGTTGTTGTGGCCAATTCTCTGTTGTTGTCCATAAAAACTCTGGCCCCATGAGCCAACGTGGGTTCTCTATGAAATCATTTGTGGAAATTGTCCTTGAAGAATCATCGGCTGGATTAAGCGCTGAGCTCACGTACTTCCACTGGCGTGGTTCTGACGAGCTTCTTATTTCACTAACACGATTTGCGACGAAAACATGAAACCGTTTAGATTCGTTCCCTATATACTGAAGAACAGTTGTACTGTCTGTCCAAAATGTAACAGTTTCTGGAATCAAATCAAGTTCATTCTTTAACATGCGGCTTAAACGTACTGATATTGTGGCGGCTGATAATTCAAGTCTCGGAATTGTCTTCGACTTTAATGGAGCTAATCTTGATTTGCCGATAAGGAAAGCACAGTGAATCTGATTGCGATCATTTAAAACACGTTGATAGCATACTGAACCATAACCTATCGATGAGGCATCTGAAAAAATATGAATCTCTCTTTTCACAATTTGACCGAAATTTGAAGGAATAAAACATCTATTAATTTTCAATTCATCTAATTTTAGAACCTGATCTCTCCACGAAATCCATTTTTGTTTATAATCATCTGAGATTGGATCATCCCAACCTAGCTTAGCTGCACACAATTCCTGAAGAATCCGTTTGGCTTGTAACGTTATAGGGCACAAGAAACCCAAAGGATCGAACACAGAACCAATTACAGAAAGAATACCCCTTCTTGTGAAAGGCCTGTCTTTAAGAACAATACTGAAGTTAAAAGTGTCACTCTCGATACACCATCTCACACCAAGAGCATGTTCAATAGGCAAATCATCATAATCAATGTTTATATGTTTAATATCTTTAGCGCGTTTATTCAAATCAATGCTGTTAATAACAGCTCTGTTATTGCTGATAAATTTGGTAAGATTAAATCCACCAGCTTCACATATACCCATTAAGTCATTCGCAAGTTGAGCAGCTTCTTGCTCCGTTTCACAAGATTTCAGTAAGTCATCGACGTAAAAATTGCTTTTAATTGTATTCGTTACAGCAAATCCAAAATTAATGTTATCATCTGCAGTTTTTTTAAGAGCGAAATTTGCCACACTTGGGGAAGAAACAGCCCCAAAAATATGGACAGTCATCTGATGTTTCTCTGGTGGTTTGTCTGTATTCCAGTTGGGCCAACAAAGAAAGCGCAAGTAATCCCAATTATCAGGTGAAACGTTTACCTGGTAGAACATTTTCTCCACATCCGCCATAAATGCAATAGGGTGTTCGCGAAATCGAATAAGAACACCAATCAATGAATTTGTAAGGTCCGGTCCCTGTAGGAGACAATCGTTTAATGATACACCGTTCCATTTAGCACTACAGTCATAAACAACTCTTAGTTTATCTGGTTTCCTAGGGTGATAAATACCATGATGAGGTATGTACCATGTCTGGGCGTTTGACGCGTTTAACTGTTCGGGCGATACTTTAACCGCATAACGTTGATCTAACAAATCATCAATGAAATAAATATAATCGTTTCTGAACTCAGGGTTACAGTTCATCTTACGTTTAAGAGAATTAAGGCGTTTCAGAGCATGTTCTCTGTTATTTGAAATGTGCGCATAATTATCCCTAAATGGAAGCGGAATTTCGAAGTGACCATTTTTAAACACTGTTTTGTTTTCAACTAATTCTATGAATTTTTTATCTTCTTGAGAATAACTAGGTTGATCACTTATATAATCTTTAAAATCTGACTCGACAATTCGTTCGAATAACTTTGGAATCTCGGTTTCACGAACTGTGGTGTCTACAGCCACTTGGCGTACATACGAATCATTGCTGATATCTTTTAAGAAAATGCGATTACAGTTTACATTTTTTGATGAAACATCAGGGTTAATTGGGCCTATTACAGTCCACCCTAACCGAGTTAAAACAGCATACGGACCGTTGTCATGACTAGATATTACTTTCAGAGGTTCTAGCGCCTGTGGACAATTAGTTCCTAGGAGCATTCCTACTTTAACGTTAGGGAAATATTTATGTATGACTATATCACGAAGATATTCCCATCGTTGTACAATTTCTGGTCTAGGTATTTTCGACGTAGACATAGGGATTTCATCTATAGAATAAACAGGAGGAAGATCAATTGTATTTGTCCCAGATAAGTCTGAAACTTGTAAATCTTTAAGAATAGTACTTCTAGTTTTACTTTGTCCATGCATTGTTCCCAGCACAATCTCAGTTTCTTCACAATTAACATTTAAGTCATTCTTTAATTCATCAGAAATAAAACCACCATTTGATCCGTTGTCTAAAACTAAATAAGTCAATACTTGAGCATTATTATCTTTACTAATAACGTTAACAGGAACAACTGCCATCATAAGGTCAAAGTCATCATTATGAGTATTTGTGAATTCCTCAAATGTATCAACACAACCGTTTTGAATATCAGGAACAAAGTTAGATCTTTGTTGTGCGTTTTGCTGTGCGATGTAAGATGCGTTATCGTTGCGTTGAAATGCGTTTGATGCCGGTAGATGTGCGTTTGATGAACTTGTAGCATTAGCTAAGCGTTTAACTTGTGTAGATTCATGATGCGGCTGTACGTTTCTGTTGACATTGGAATAAATGTTCATGTCTTGCGTAGATGGAGATTTGTATGCACTCGAAGTACCGATATTAGATCTTGTGGGAGGAACAAAAGTTTCTA